GGAGTAAAATGTTTTTGGGAATGAGCCTGAATGTATCACATGTGTGTCAGTTGCTTCTAGCTCTGGAGTAACTTCCCCTTGTAACATAAAATCTGTACATCTTCTCACTCCCATTGTCTGTAGGCACCAGCACTAATTGCAATTCCCTTAACAAATTTCTGCCTAATAAATTAACTGGACATTCTGGGCTTAACACAAAATCAGCTTCCACCATGAATCCCTCTTCATCAGTGACCAATTGTTTTTCCCCTGTGACCACTAGCCCCTCACTTGAGCCCAATCATGGTCCAAACTACACTTCATAGCTTTTCCTATGTTTTAGCTTGCACAATCCACTTATTTAACCCCTCTAATTTTTTTATTCCCCGTATGTAGCTTGCATGACTGAAATAATTTTCTGGTGGGTTATTTATTTTTAATTTTTGTTCCCCACCTAATAGTTTTGGAGACCCTGCAGGCGCATTAGGAAGGCTGTCAGTTGGATCAATGCTGCAGTCACCGTTCCACTGACATCCCCCTCGCTGCTGCAGATTCAAGCTGTCTTCCTCTAAACTGTGTTTCATTATTTTTTGGACGCACAAGCAACTTAAAAAATCCACAAACATTCCTTTAAAGACAGAAACACATAGCATTAAAAGACGGACAATCACAACATCAGATCTATTTTTTTAATTTTTAATAATAACATGGTAGCCTATCTACTTTGCTCATGTATTTATTTGTTAATTTTTTTATTTATCTATTTTTTCACTAGCGCTTGTTTCTAGCTGGCACATAACATTTCTCCATTGATCTACTTCCACACACCATCTATTTCATACTTTTACTTCCACTTCTACAAGTATTTACTTGGATCAATCTGACACAAACTTTCCATACCCCTTATGATCTTCTCTATACTCTTTCCTGAACCCATCCTTTTTAATTCCTTTATCTCCCTGGGTCTCTTTAGTAATTGTATTCTTTAGTTCTATTATTTTATTATTTTGGAATAGAGGCGTTCCTCAAACCCATATTTTTTTTTTTAAACCATATATTCAAGTGTTTATTTTTTTGTTGGATCCTGCGCTTCTACAAACTTAGATTTTAAATTATCCCTGACTTTACTTTGACCTTTACCAATTTTAAAGAATTTAGTCCAGTACAAACACCTAGGGTATTCTACGCACTGGATGTTTATTCAGCAGGACAGTACCCAAAAACTGTTGTGGTAATATCTGCTTCTACCTTTTCAGTTGAGAAATTCTTGCCTCTGCATCCACAAGAGCTGTACTGTATTAACCCCTGCTGTTTTAGTATGAAACAACAGAACATGACAGGTTCGATTATTTCCTCACACACTCTCACACAGTCACTCCTATTTTAAGGCCTATTTTTTTTTCTAACTAATATAGACGCAAAACACCTATCGTTACGTTTACACTTTGTCTCAAACTCCAGGCCCTCGCAAACACCGGATACACAGATGCCATATCTGTCAAAGATCCCTGCTGCGGCAGCTGAAAATCTTACTATCTCGAGAACAACACAGAGTCCCAAACTCTAACGTACAGAATACCCAGATGCCATATCTGTCAACAAGACTTGGTCTCGTCAAATATTCTTCCGATTACAGCTGTAACTTAAATGGTCCCAGACCAACTTTTGATCGAAAGATTTAGGCCTACCCTTTGTCATGTAGATCAGTTCCTCTGGAGTCGTCAACAAGATGCCCAGGTCAGGGCTGGACCAAACTGGCCCCATCCAGTGAAGGGAGGATGGCTGTCGACAGATTCTTGGCCTTGGTCCCACACGGTCCTGGACAATTGGATCTTGACTCCCGGGTTTCGGCACCAAAAATGTTGGGTTCAAAAATGTAGGTTTGTAAAAGAAGAACTTAAATACACAGTAATGGATTTTCATACTGCTTCTGCAGAAGGAGAGACAGTTGCAACCCAGACTCAAACACACTGTCTCCCACCGGACCTCCTCCGCAGAGCGTTTTATTAACAGAACATGACACATGGTTACAAACAGAGTATTGTTCTGACAGAACAATTGATCAGTTCATAAAGACAGGATGCTCCCCTCTTGACTGAATCACAAGGCAGTGTGGTCTCCTGACTTAAACATGAGACAGGAGTGGAGCATCTCATTTCTACAATGTTTCATATGAACACAGATTAATTTAATAATCATCATTGAATAAACCTAACAATCTCAGTCCAGAAATGTGCAGTTCTAGGGACAGCTAAGATACAGAGAAGAACCTTCAGGCTCTTATCCTTCATTTCCATTTATATCTACAGGAGCAGGAACCAAGATGCCAGGATTGAGGTCCAAGACTCAGTGATCATGATGAAAATTATTGTTTGAAATCTCTTAGTCTCTACAACTTTCTCACCTCTTATTTCTTTAAACCTTCCATGGACATTTCCAAAAGGACATTTGAGATTGTGCCTCTAACAGCTGCCTTTACTGGTTTGTGTCTTTCATTTTTAACATAATTTCTTGCTGCTTCTTAGTTGCTGCTGTGAATACATTTATTATATTACTAAACAGTTTAGTGTATTAAATCATCCCTATTTCCTTCTCAAGTGCTTTGGTTACTTCAACTGGATGAAAGTGTCCTTTCTCCTTTCTAAGCTTGTTTATAGCCTTTATTTATATCCCTTCGTCCTGTTTACCGTCATCTGTGCTACCATTTCCAACAAGACTAGCTTTTAGCTTTTAAGTAACTAAAGATGTCAAGATGATTCTTTCCTTGCCATTTTAGTTTGGATTATCTCCATAGATGAAAGTGACTCATCATTATCATCAATAATGAGCTATGTCTCATTGATCACCATTGATTGCAATCTGCTTTTTAGCTTCAAAGGTTTATTTTTGTAACACCATTCATGCAGTAGACAATTCAAACAGTTGTATACCAGACAAAAACATGGAAATATTAAAAAAAACTTTTAAATACTTGCAATAGAAGAAAATAATTGTTTAAATGTAATTTCTTTATAACTCTCAAACTGCAATCTGAAAATTATTTGACTTTTCTGTAGGAATGACAGGCCAAAAAATATACTTTTCCTTCAACCTACACCTAGCACCACCATTTACCTTCTGCTATTCTCCTTTTTTGCCTTATAGAAGTCACAAGAAAACCTTTATTTATGCAGCACTTTTCACATAATAAAATCCATTAGGCTCATCACAATGAGACAGCTGTAAAAATAACACGGAAAAAAAAAATACAACAAAAAGGATTTAAAAAACATTAACATGCAACATTATACAATAAAAATGAATTAAAAACAATCTGAATAAATTGTTCTTCAGCGGATTACTATAATGATGAGAATGAAAAGACCAATCCCAACACTGATCTGTGTTAAATTAATGTTCATTATTTTATCAGGTGATTTTAGCTCTAAATGATTCAATATAATCAGAATATTTGACGAAGAATGGTTTTTTTTTGCTAGTTTTGGGATGCTAGTTTTGATTTCATGCTATCCTTTTTTAAATAGCTTTAACACAAAAGCATCACTTTCATAATTTTGTTTCCCCTGGAGAAAAAATTATTTTGGGGGGTAGGGGCGGTCACGACAAAGACCTGAAATTATACGAAAACTATCATGGAAGTCTTCTATGAAGCATCTATACTCTGAAAATATCTGAGCTATTTGAAGAATGTCATGTGTACCTCATTAAGTGGAGGTATCTAAATGTTTAATCTTATTTCTGAAATGGAGAACATGTTATTGCCCTGAATGAATGCACTATATAAAACTTTTAATATATTTAAGTAGATGTTCTTAAAATAAGTGCATTTTCTCTTGATCTAAGCAGGTAAGTTAGACAATTTTCCAATGGAATAGAATGATTTACAATCAAATTAAGAATGTAAAAATGTACTTATAGTGCATTATATTTATCTTATATTTAAGAGCATTGCTCTGGCAGATTGTCATAATAACCTGTTCATATTAAGACTAAATATACTTATTTTGAGAAAATGTGATCTTTTTAGATCTATTTTGTAGTGTAATAATCCATATATTTATTATGATATGTGCTAAGAGAACAGGCCATAAATGATTCCCCCTTGGACCAATTTTAATATTTCTCCTTTCCAATTTTATCGAGCAATTATTTCAAAATTGCGGTTAGCTTTAAGCTTCAGTCGTACCGACGCAGATTTCATCCGTTAGATCAGGAGGCTGCAACTTTAGCTTTGTGACTTACTTTAAAAACTAAATGTCATGTTTTTACCCTATTTATTTCTTTTTGCTCTGCCCTTGTTATTCTTTTGTTCTATGCCCCCATGAAAAAACACTGATCCCACCCTTGTAAATGTAATCTTGAACTGCAACTGTTAAGGTGATAGTGTTATATGCCTAAAAAGAGGCTGTTCTCCGCATAGGTTAAGGTTAGGGTAAGGATTGGGGGTTATGCTGTGTCCCTGACTCATAACATGCAGGGCAAAGCTTTGCTAGCAACAAATAGCACATAAGGTATGATATCAGAGCAGTTTATTGTTTATATTTTTTTTAAGTCCAAAGAGGCATGAAGTGTGAAGGAGAGAAATTATCTCTGGGGGAAAATATCTGTATTGATCAAACATATCAGGTATGAATATATCCTTAGCTCGGATGCCGTTAATTTGGATTTAATTAATTTGTCTCAGAGGATAACACATATCTTTTGGTAATTCCTTTTCAAATCTTGTATTTCTTGATCATGTTTTCTCCTTAAATTCTCTATTTCTTCTTTCAGATATTTTTCTTTGTACTGAAACAGTTCCCCTAACTGATTGTATTCTTTACTGTGGCTGTTCTCTGCCTCTTCCATTTTTCTTTTAAGTTTTTGTTTCAGCTCTTGTATTTCCTCCATGTGCTTTTCCACCAGAGCTGTGAAATCCTTGGTGTATTTCTGTCTGAACTCATTGAATTCTTCAGCTTTTTTTCTCGCCTCTTCTTCATATTTAGTTTTTATAGCCACTAGTTTTTGGCTGTAAATTTCCTCTAATTCTTTTCTCTCCTTCTCTTCTTGCTCTTTTCTGATGC